GACCAGCGGCGACAGCAGCGCCGACGACAGCGGCTTCGACAACAGCGGCGACGGCAGCGGCCCCCGCCCTCTCAGCGGCGTGTCCAGTCTCAACGACTGTGAGGACCCCCGCAAGTCAGGCGATAGCTGTGGCGAGGAGGAGATGGCAAGGCAGAGGAGGGGAAAATGGGGGGAGGGCGGGTCTTCAGCGACGCGCCATGGATGGCGCGACGCTTACTGGCAGGACGGCAGGCGAGTCTTCAGCGACGCGCCATGGATGGCGCGATGCTTACTGGCGGGACGGCAGGCGAGTCTTCAGCGACGCGCCATGGATGGCGCGATACTTACTGGCGGGACGGCAGATCTAGCGGCGCCTCAGGCGTCGCGCGGCGACGACGTTGTCACAGAGCGGCGTCGACGCCACGACGGCGCGACGCCACGGCAACGCGTCGAGACGGCCGCGGCATAACGAGGCCCGCGGCACGACGACGCCGCCACAGCAGCTCGACGCGGCCGCCATGGCAGCGCGCGAGTGAAAGGAGTACTCGGCGGAAGCGTGGGGAGCAGGCCCGGGAGGGGGAACCCGCTTTGTTACCATGTTAAGAGAGCTAGAAAGGTTCTAGCTAGGAGTAGGAGCCATGGAAATGGCGAGGTTTTAGGTGCTAGGAAAGTTGAGAGAGAAAAGAGTGAGAACTAGAAAGAGGGATACACGGAGGGGATTGCATGTCAGAAACTAGCTTAGCTAGGAAGCCATAGAATGGCACAAGGTTTAGCTAGGAGCTAGGAGGAGCCATGAGAATGGCGAGAGGTTTTAGGTGCTAGGAAAGTTGAGGAGAGGAAAAGATGTTGGATTAGAAGAGAGGGGAGTACAAGGAGGGGTTTGTACCCCCTACAGAAAGGTTCAGTAACAACCTACCAAGCCTATATAAATTATAACTTATATAATTTTAACACACCCCCTAGGCTTGGTAGTCACACACCCACACACACCCACACCCCCTAACCTAGCACCCCCATTCCAGCCACAGTGACAGCGACTCTAGGTCGGTCGACCCCACGGCGCGTGAGGCGGCGACGTCGACCGCAGGGGCTGCGGCGGCGACGGCGGCAGCGGCGGCAGTGTCGACAGCGGCGACCGAGAGGTGCGGCGGCGGCGGCGTGCGGCTGCGTGGCCCCGACGCAAGCGGCGACAGCGGCGGCGGCGGCGGCTTCGACAACAGCGGCAGCGGCGGCGGCACCCGCACCTCTCGGTGACGTGGCCTGGCCCCGCGACTGTGGGACGGCCGGCGGGAGTCAGCCGTCGTCTGCGGAATGGAAGAGGGCGCAGGGGAAGGAGGGGGGTGGGGGGGGGGGGCGGCGCCACAGGCTGACATGCGGGCGGCCGGTCTAGCGGCGCCACAAGCGTCACGCGGCCGGCTGCAGCCCGACGACGCCGTCATGGAGCGGCGTCGATGCCGCAGCGGGGCGTCGACGCTGCGACGGCAGCACGACGTCGCTGGTACGCCGACTGCGCGCTGTCGCGTAGACGCCGCGGCAGCGTGACGGCGCCGTCACGTCGCGACAGCAACTTGACGCGACGGCGGAGCTGCGGCACGACGGCGCGGCCACAGCAGCTGGACGCGGGCGCCATGGACGTCGACAGCGGCGCCGCGGCACGACGACGCGGCCACAGCAGCTTGACGCGGCCGCCATGGCAGCGCGAGATAGAGAGAGAAACGAGCACGCAGCGGAAACGCGAGGAGCAGGCCCACACGGAACGAACTGCTCTGATACCATGTCAGAAACTAGCTTAGCTAGGAAGCCATAGAATGGCACAAGGTTTAGCTAGGAGCTAGGAGGAGCCATGAGAATGGCGAGAGGTTTTAGGTGCTAGGAAAGTTGAGGAGAGGAAAAGATGTTGGATTAGAAGAGAGGGGAGTACAAGGAGGGGTTTGTACCCCCTACAGAAAGGTTCAGTAACAACCTACCAAGCCTATATAAATTATAACTTATATAATTTTAACATTGCACCCTCTACAGGATAATTCGGTAACCTACCAAGCCTAACAATTATATAACACAATATATAATTTAACATGACATACAAGGGAATATATATCCTAGAGGGTTAAACTCTCTAAGGCACAACCCTGTGTAGTCTATAACATACAAAGATATGTTGACATCTGACACATGGAGTGGGTGTTAGATTTGACTAGTGTAAATTGAAGGGGAAAATAGGTACGAAACCAATACTGGTCAATGATAACTCCTTGAAAGGCTAACTGGCCTGAACTGATGCTCTCCTAGTCAACCCGCTCCAGGATCATGGTCCCTATGTTAGCAGGAACCCAGATTTACCCCTGCAGTGCCTTACCTAAACGGAACTCCCAAAATGAAGGTGCAAAAGGAAAACGTGTACAGTCGACGTTCTGGCCACACAGGAGGTGCCCTGGTAGTAGAATTCCCGTTACGACCCCCTGTAACGAGTGCCTTACCGTGTTGATACCCCATCTCTACCTTTCCACATTCTTAAGAGAGCGTCGCAAGAAAAACTCCTTGCTGACTGTAATAAAAAAACTCCTCTCGAAGCTGTGCTCCAGGGAAGGAAGGTGAAGGGGAGAAGGAAAAGGAATAAAGGGACAGCTTTTAAAAACAGGTTAAAGGAAGACTCGTAAAAAAAAAAAAAAAAAAAAAAAAAAAAAAAAAAAAAAAAAACGGAAATACTGGGTTTGAAGAAGCAACGGAAAGAAGACTTGACAGCAGAAAGAGAGGAAACAAATGCACTTGTTAAGCTGGAATTGACTGGACAAAAAGTATGAAACCGGGGAATGGCGAAATGATATGATGACAATGGAGCGGCCATGGAAGAACGTACAAGAAGCAAGATAAACGGAGTTGGGTAGGTACATGGGGTGAGTGAGCATGTGACGTGGGTAGGTGTGCATGGGCTGGGTAAATGCGTGGGGTCAGAAGGTGTATGGCCCAGAGGGCTGGAGGGGGGATGTGGAGCTAAAGCGGAAGAGGGTTGAATGACGAAAATGATGGATGCGACTTCTGAGTCGACTCAAAGGTCATGTCAGCAGGTGTGTAAGCTGGGCTGGTGGGCGGTTGAGGAGCTAAAGCAAAAATTAGCAAGGACGAGAAAACAGGAAGTGGAAACACGAGCAGGTGGGGGAGGGAGAGGGGGGGGGGGGAATGAGAAACGGGAAGGGGGGGTCGAGGGGGGGTAAGGGGGCAGGGTGAGGAGAATGGGGGGGAAAGGAAGAAGGGGGGGGGGGGGGGAGGGGTAGGGGAGAGAGGGGGACACGTGTACAACTAAAGAAAGAACAATATACCTTATTCCTGTGGCTGTCAGGCGTCCTCTTCCTGTGCCTCCGTGATCTCGTCGTCCTCTGGCACGCCTCTCAAGTACAGCACGTTGTTGCATCTGCCCGCCCGCACACGTTCACAACACGCGTTTGGATTTCAGCACACCCCCCCCCCCCCCCCCCCCCCCCCAAAAAAAGGCAGCACACACACCACTCAACACACCATCCAGACATGCATGCATGCGTAACAGCACACATACCAGTCAATACACCATCCAGGACATGAATGCATGCATGCATGCGTAGCACAGTAAAAACAAGAATCGCACTCAACGCATCCAATCAAAACACATGCGCGGTGCAGGGGAGAATCAGTGGAGGGCGGAAGGGACAGGGAGAAGTAGCAATAAGGTGGAATGAGCAGATTGCAAATAAAGGGGAAGCCGGTGAGTGGAAGTGTGGAAGAGAGAGGACGCAGGTGGGAGCGGTACCGGGCAAGAGTGCAGCCAGCCAGGAGATTTTCGGCAAGAAGAAGAGAGCCAAGTATTGTAAGAAACAACGGGATATTAAAATAAGGAAAAAGAGGCACAACGCAACGCAAAACGCAATTGCGAGGTAGGAGAGAGAAACGCAACGCACCTGATGAGCACTTCACCAAGGCTTCCCATAAACTGACCGTCGATGTACTCTTCTGTGCTCGCCAGCTGCACAACGCCACAGTAGATTCAGAGAGATAAAGGATGCAAAATTTTATACAACTCTGACGGACGAACGGCGCTAATGCGAATGCGCTTGTCGAATAAGAGTCGGAAAATCAATGTCCTCACCTGAAGATGACTTTTGAGTTGACTCAAAAATAATTACAAGAGTCGGAAGATCAATGTCCTCACCTGAAGATTCATGTACGCATCGACAGACATTAGGTAGCCTGCGACACGCCAACATAAAAAAAAATCGCAAACGGTGAGATTGAGGATCACTGAACTAGGTCTGTGAACAGTGCTAAGATTGTGGTCTTTCCCATGGAGCCGATAAGGAAAAAGAGTTTTACTATGAACGATCACCATAAACGGGTGAAGGACAGGACGTAGATAGACCCACCTTTATACTCCATGCCCCATTTTAATTTTACAATGACTTGCTTCCCGGTGAGGTCGTTCAGGAACGGCTTAGGGTTTACTGGGACGGTCTGGGGAAACGCAAAAGAGGAAAATGATCGGTCAGTGTTAACAGTGGAATCGAGAACTCTATTCGCTAACAACGAAAGGAGCGAATAGAGCTCACCGCCATGACCTCGATGTGATGAGCTCAAGGGAATAACTCCCCTGCAACTAATTACCTACGAGAAAAGACAGATCACGATGCCAAGGTCGCAGCTTTCAGTAGGGAGGAGATTATTCTCGTTACTGTATCACTCGATATGCTGCAATATCTGCCATCTCATTGCACTCCGAAATGTTTGAGCTGGATGAGGTGTGCTGGTAACAGCGATATTTTCAGCGGTACCGCACGGTTCTTTGCAACCTGCTTGTGATGTGGACAGTTGAATTTGGGTGTAGAATTCAAAGAGCTTCCCTTTTTTTTGTGCCTTCACCGCAACGGACCGAACCCAACACCTCAGACAGTCGTCGCTAGCGTGGCAGCACACGACTGGGCATCTGGGTTGCAGAAATGCCTTTCCTGACTTCGCAAGTTCCAGAACCACCTGGAGACCGCAGCGGACAGACCGAGAAGTATCTCTCCGCCTCCGCCATAACCCAGGCTTGAGGCTTTCTGTTCCAACAAATCTCCTTCAGGGACCTTCGAAATTGATTCCCTGCGGCTCTGGTCTGCTGATCCTGCTGCTCTATCTTCCTCTGCACACATGAACAATTCTCTGCTGTTCTTCTGGCGTCCAGAGACGATAGCTGCAATTCTGTGATTTCGTGATCTCTCTCGTGAAACGACGTCCCCGTGTGCCTAGTTTACGTATAAAACGATCCTAGTCCTGCAGCACTCCTGGTTGGTTGCGAGCTCCAAAACGCAACGTTCTCTGACCCTTCGATCAGCCTCCCCTATTCTCCTCTTGAGGCGTTAGATCCTTCTGTTACTGCAAAGCTTCTAAGTTTTCTCACATCAATACCATCATGGTGTACGTTGATTGTTGTTGCTGGATTTCGTCTCCCTTTCGCGCATCATGGTCTGATAATCTCGGTTCCACATACTCTGTTTGACAGCCTCGGTTTCGAGTCGATAACGTCCGCCGCACGATTATTCGCACTGATATTGATCCGCGTGTGCTCTGCGTGTGCTCCGCGTGTGATCCGCGTGTTCGCTGTGCAGCCGCCATCCAGTGGTGATTTGGGCGCAGCGGTCAGACAACGCCTTCATAACAGTCGAGCTGCCGGACGCCAAAGACATCACGACGAACCTAGACCCGGAGGGGAAGCTATCCTACTCCGCTAAAGCAGGATCCGATGATCAAGAATTCGCCGTCGATCTGGAGCTATTCGATAAAATCAACGCCGAGGTACATGGTTCAGCTGGGAATCTACTGTCAGATTTGCGCGAGTTACTTATGTTGGCCGTTTGTCGGGGGATCAGTGGTTTCGCTACATCTGAGCGTGAGTGTGCGTCCTTCTGCCTTGCTCTTCTTGATCTTCGTGCCGTTCCCTGCCCATCCTTGTTCTTCCTGAGTCCTCTCCAGGAGAGCAAGGTGGTGAGCACTTCGCGGCACACGATATTCATGCTGGTTAAGGCCGAGAAAAAGTGGTGGCCGCGGCTCATCAAGGCGGGGGGACGAGCTCCGCCGTTCCTCAAGGTCGACTGGAACAAGTGGGTGGACGAAGACGAGGAGTCGAGCGCTGGCCAATGTGAGTATGACAGAAACCCTGGCTGAATGTGAGCTGGTTAGACCATGGCAGAACACGAGACGAACAGTCCGATGGGATTTGGAATATTGGCGTAGAATATTGGCTCAACGGTATGGCAAACCAACGTCTACATGAAGATCGTTGGCCAAGGCGTAAGCCCTGGTTGTCCGATCAGGTTGGTTCAAGTTGAACTTGTCATGCTTTACCGCCCTCCATGCCCGGTCACTCTAATTGAGCCCACGTTCGTGATAAGTACGGATATGTCATATCACTCCACTTGACCTTCAATCCCCTTCACTCCGCCGTCTCTTGACTCCCATTCTTTGTTATGGCAGTCGACCCTGACTTCATGAAACAATTCCAGGTGAGACACTTCTCGCCATTTCAGAGTGGTGTTGGGCGGTTCCTTCCCCCCCCCCCCTTTTCACTTTTTTTCTGGGTAAATGCTGGGTATATGTTTGATTCGAGTGTGTGGCTGGCATGCTTGCGGCACACGCTTCCCTGTGCAAATATCTCACACATTCTAAGTTTCTTACACGCTATTCTCGCCTTGTGCTGCAGGGTGCTGGTGGTTTTGGCGGTGCTGGTGGCTTTGGTGGTGCTGGTGGCTTTGGTGGTGCTGGTGGTTTTGGCGCTGGTGGTTTCGGAGGTGCTGATTTCGGTGGGGCTGACTTTGGTGGTGCTGATTTCGGCGGTGCGGATCTGGGTGGTGATGATGACGAGGAAGGGGAGGATGAAGGTAGGTGACTCGTGCATCCACCTCCACCGCCCTCACCCTCAAGCACAATTCTCCCTCGCTCTTTGCCTGGCATGCCACTCACACCCCAAAACCCTGCCCCCTTGCACCCCTGTCCCTCTGCTTTTGAAGCCTGCCCAGTCTGTCTCCCTTACATCCCCCCCTTACCCCTCTGCATTTCTCGTCTTGTCGGTCTTTCCCCCAACCGGTTACGTGGAACCCACCCCCCCCCCCGCCCCCCCCTCCATCTCTCAATGCCAGCAAATCCACAGTTGCTCTGTAACATCAAGCCTTACCGTTCCCTCTGTTGATTGCATCATTGCTCGGTTTTTTATTGCAGAGTTGGGAGACCTTGAGAAGTGACCCAAGTCACAATGACGTACCGTATGTTGCTGCAGTCATTATGGACCCAGCACCCATCCCATCCCTCAAATGAAGCTTTGCTGCTTAGAAGCATAACCACAGGACAACTGGTAGGTGACATTCAGCTGAATGTCAGATCAGATGCAATAGGCACTGGATTAGGGAAATTGTCCAATTTGCTGTTGACAGTGCACGGGTTGGGCATTGAAGCGAGGATCTCAAGAAGCAGAAAACCAAATCCAAAGGTTATGGTTTTGGGTTGACGAACTTCGTGAAACAGTTACAGGGCTCAACCAGCACCCATTACCACACCTTGCAATTTTCGAGTCCCCCCGAAACCAATACCTTGGGGTTTGGTTTTTTGCTTCTTGAGACCCTCGCTTTAACAAGGAGAGGAAGCAATGCAAGAGTGAAACTGCCATTAAGCATTGTAGAAATTTATTTCAATCATATATTTTGACGATGATGACACATACATGGGGATGTAGCTCACATGGTAGAGCGCTCGCTTAGCATGCGAGAGGTACGGGGATCGATACCCCGCTTCTCCAGGATTGCGGGGATAGCTCAGTTGGGAGAGCGTCAGACTGAAGATCTGAAGGTCGCGTGTTCGATCCACGCTCACCGCATCTTTTGCTTTTGGCTTCTCCAAGGTCCAGTAAGGACGAGAAACGTTAGGGTGTATACACTGGTTTGCTGAGAAATATATGTCCCGAAACTCATTTTGTTGCACCATTTTTTGAAATGATTATTGGGTAACACATGGATAGCCAACCTTGGATTGGTGCTGGTTTGCATGCAAACAAACCAGGTTTTCCACAAATCCATGTGGGCCGGAAAACACCAGTTGCGGAATGTGATGTGCGAGTGCGAGACATTGACAGTATACACCTGTGCGGGAGGGCCACTTCAAGGGCACTACCTGTTAACGTAGAAACGAATGATTACTAGAGGTGGAAACCTAGAACAAATACTAGTTGGTTGTACTTGTCAACTTATACATATTATCTATGTAGAAGTTATAGGCTAGACTGAGGTATGCTTCTAGTGAGTACAACCAACTAGTATTTGTTCTAGGTTTCCACCTCTAGTAATCATTCGTTTCTACGTTAACATGGTATCACGCTTAGGTTAGGATCCCCCCGCCTACCGCTTCCGCCCGTCGCGCCTCCTAGGCCCCGTCGCGCCCCCTAGGCCCCGTCGCGCCCCCCCTGGGCCCCGTCGCGCTCGTTAGGCCCCGTCGCGCCCCCCCTGGGCCCCGTCGTGCCCGCTGGGCCCCGTCGCGCCTCCTAGGCCCCGTCGCGCTCCCCCTGGGCCCCGTCGCGCCCACTGGGTCCCGTCGCGACCCCTAGGCCCTAACGCGCCCCCGCTGGGCCCCGTTGCGCCTCCTAGGCCCCGTCGCGCCCCCCATGGGCCCCGTCGAGCCCGCTGAGCCCCGTCGTGCCTCCTAGGCATCGTCGCGCCTCCTAAGCCCCGTCGCGTCCCCCCCCTCTGGGCCCCGTCGCGCCCGTTCGGCCCCGTCGCGCCCCTCCTAGGCCCCGTCGCGCCCGCTGGGCCCCTTCGCGCTTCCTAGGCCCCGTCGCGCCTGCTAGGCCCCGTCGTGCCCCCCCTGGGCCCCGTCGCGCCCGTTAGGCCCCGTCGCGGCCCCCCTGGGCCCCGTCGTGCCCGCTGGTCCCCGTCGCGCCTCCTCGGCCCCGTCGCGCCCCCCCTGGGCCCCGTCGTACCCGCTGGGCCCCGTCGCGCCCCTTAGGCCCCGTCGCGCCCGCTGGCCCCTGTCGCGCCTGCTGTTAGCGCTCGCCCGCCTGGCCTCCTCCTAGTGCCGCTCGGCCTCCTCCTAGTGCCGCCCGGCCTCCTCCTAGTGCCGCCCGGCCTCCTCCTAGTGCCGCCCGGCCCCTTCCTAGCGCCGCCCGGCCTCTCCTCAGCGCTGCCCGGCCCCTCCTCGTGCCCGACCGGCCCCAGCAGCACCAGCCTGGCCCCTCCCAGCACCAGCCCGGCCCTAGAGCACCTGCCCGCCTCCCCTGCTCGGCCTGCCGTGTCCTCTCGGGCCCTGTGTCTTCTGCTTGCCTGCGCTGGGACGCCTAGCTGCTGCCCTACTGGAGAGTGCTGCCGCCGTGTCCCCGCGCCGCTGTGCTCCTGTGCCGCTGAGGAGATGTGCTGCTGTGCCGCTGTGTCGCTGAGGAGCTGTGCCGCTGACCCTGCACGATGGCTGACTTTGTGCTCCGCCTGGACGCTGAGGGCCACGCGGTTGACTTCGCCGCCTGGCTCTCCGATCTTCGCCGCCAGCTTACAGGTCAGCGCCAGGATGGCCACTCTCTGGTTGTCCATGCTGATGGCTTGCTCCCCCGTCCCCCTGCACCTACTCCCCTCCCTGCTGACCCCTCCTCTGATGACCGTGAGGCTTTCTCTACTGCTGCGCTAGCCTGTGCGGTCTGGGACTCACGCGATGCAGTAGCTCAGGTTGCTATTAGTCACGCCCTCCCTGTGTCTGAGCGCTCGCGTTTTGCTACTGTTGAAACGGCCAAAGCTTATTTAGACGCCGTTATTGCTCGCTATTCCACCCCTGCCTCCGCTTCTGCTGGCCGCTTGCTCTTTCCGATGCTGTTCCCAGACCTGGCTGCCTTCCCTACTGTCGCAGATTTTGCCACTCATTTGCGTGCCCTAGAGACTCGCTATCGCACTGCCAGCACTGCTGCCCAGCTCACTGCGCTCCCCCCTCCTTTCTGCATGACGCTCTATTTTATCGCTATGCGCCTGCCAGACCGCCTCGCTAGTGCTCGCGACCACTTTCTTAGCCAGCACCCGGGTGACCTCACCCTGACCGCCTTTGTCGACACCCTCACTGAGATCGAGACTCGCCAGCGCACTATCGCTCAGTCGAGCGGTGCGCCGGCAGTCTCTATCTTTCACGGTTGTGCCCCATCCCCGTGCACGTTCACTGACGTTTCGGCTGCGGTCGCCACGGCGACCCCTCTTACCGAGACGGCTGCTGCTGTCCACCCGCAGCAGCGCTCGCGTCGCGGTGGCCGTGGCCGCCAGGGAGGTAGGGGTGGTGACGCAGGTGGTAGTGGTCGTGGTGGTGGTGACGGTAGTCCGCCTGAGGGGACTACCACCGGTGGGCAGGAGCAGCAGTCCCAGCAGCAGCAGGACCAGCCCCAGCCGCAGCCGCCGTCCCAGCAGCACCCGCCGCAGCCGTGGGCTCGTCTCCCGCCTGGTTGGCCCGGCACCTCCGGAGGCGGTGGCCGTGGTGGCGGCCCGCGCAGCTTGGCGTCTACCAGCGGCTCCAGTGCTGTGACCTGCCAGTACCAGCTTCAGACCGGGCCTCTCCGCGGCACTCTGTGCCGCCGCCCGCACCCGACCGCCCACTGTTTCCGCCGCCTCGACGATCTTTTTCGTCGTCGCTTTGGCCCGGCCCCGGACCTCCCTGACTGGCACAGCCTACTCCGCCAGGGCGTGCCGATCTTTGAGTTAGACATGGATCAGATAGGTGCTGCTTTGCATGCTTTGTATGCTGACGCTTCTAGTGTTGCTGGATCTTACTACCCTGTGTACTCTAGTTTAGGTGTTTCACCCTTGTGTAGCTCAGCTTCCCCTGCTGCGACAGGCGTAGGACTGCCTAGGTTGCCTAGTCTAGTCGCTGCACCGGCTCCGTCCCCGGCCTCCGCCACTGCGTCGCTGTCCTTCACTCTCGACTCTGGTGCTTCTGCCTGCTTCTTCCGCGACCGTTCCACGCTCACGCCGCTTGCTGCACCTGCTGTTGTCTCTCTCGCTGACCCCTCTGCGGGTCCGGTCGTCGCGCGCAGTTCTACGTCCCTTCCCTGTCCGGCAGTTCCCTCGGGCTCCCTTACTGGCCTCCACGTTCCCTCGTTCTCCAGGAACCTGGTTGGTGTCGGCTGTCTCCAGGACCTCGGCGTCACCACCACGTTCCCCGGGCACGAGCGGTTCGCTGTCTGTTCTGAGGCTGTCTCAGGTTCCCCCCTTGCGACGTTCCCCCGGGACCCGGTGTCCGGTCTGTTTACCCTACACACCGCTTCCCCCCCGGTTGGTGCGTCCTCCCAGGTCGCTGCAGCTTGCTCGTGTCGGTCCCTCACTCACCCCTCCCTTCTCTGGCACCACCGCTTAGGTCACCCTGCTCTCCCGCGTCTGCGTCACATGTCCCAGCACGGTCTTGTCTTAGGTCTCCCCGCGTCGCTCCCTGCCCTTCCTCCCTCGACTGCGCCACCGTGCACGCCTTGCGTTGAGGGTCGGCTCCGCCGTGCTCCTCACTCCTCCTCGCTGCGTCCTGCTACTGCCCCCCTTCAGACCCTGCACTTGGACGTTTGGGGCCCTGCCCCCGTCCCCGGACCGCGCGGTGAGCGCTACTTCCTTGTGCTCGTTGACGACTACACGCGCTACACCACGGTGTTTCCCCTGGAGCGGAAGGCCGACGTGCCCGACGTTCTTCTCCCGTGGGTTGTAGCTGCGCGTCTCCACCGCGGTCTCCCCGTGTTGTGTCTCCACTCCGACCGTGGCGGCGAGTTCGCCTCTGGTCGGCTTGGACAGTTCTGTCGTGCGGAGGGCATCACCCAGTCGTACACGTTGCCGGACTCGCCACAGCAGAATGGGGTTGCTGAGCGCCGCATCGGCTTGGTCATGGAGGTCGCCCGTACCTCCATGATCCATGCCGATGCCCCCCATTTTCTGTGGCCGTTCGCTGTTCGCTACGCGGCTCACCAGCTTAACCTGTGGCCACGCTCCCAGCGGCCGCAGGTTTCGCCGACCCTCCTTTGGACCGGGTCCCCCGGTGACGCGTCTGCGTTCCACGTATGGGGCTGCCTTGCTCACGTTCGTGCCTCTGGCACGGACAAGCTCACTGCCCGCACTGTCCCCTGTGTCTTCCTCGGTTTCCCCCTGGACTCGTCTGACTGGCTTTTCTACCACCCGCCGTCTCACCGCTTCCTCCACTCTCGTGACGTCACCTTTGACGAGTCCGTCTCCTTCTACCGCCGCTTCCCTCACCGAGGTCTCCCAGTTGCCCCCCCCCTTTTCCTTGCTCCCTCTCCCCCGGTAGCCCCTGCCCCTCTCCCGCCTCGTCCTGCCCCGTCTGGTGTCTCCCACGTCACTCCCCTCCCGTCGGTTGTCCCCGTTGAGGAGTCTGCTGACTCTGGTGGTACCCCCGGTCCGTCCTTGCCGCGTCCCCCTTCCCCAGTGCCTCCGCCCCCACTGTCGCAGTCGCCGACCCCGCTGCCGCCGCCGTCGCCGTCGCCGCCGCAGCCGTCGCCG